CATAATGATGAAGAAATTTGAAGAAGAATAAGAAGGATAGGGTAGAAATTAAGGGTTTTGTTATTGGTAATGTACAGTTTTGACCCTATCATATTAAAAACTAAATGGAGCTATTAAGTATAATTGGATATATATGTCAAGAGCACAGAAGAGAGTGTTCATGGAGATGGAAATTTGGAGTCATTAAATTTTAAAGCCATGTAATTTAAATGATCAGCTAGCAAATGAATATTGGAGATAGATATGAGGCTGAAAAGAGAAGGAAAGACCCAGATGAGAAGATGAGAGGGAGCTTCTAGTGAGACATGAAAAAGTACAAGAGAAGCATGACACTCCATAAGTCAAGTGAAGAAGTAAGTTGTTTCACACAACAGCTGGGAGAATTGGTGAAAGGAACCAAATCAATACTCTAGAGAGGTCAAAAAAGATAAACTAAGAATTGGTCATTTGACGTAGCAGACAGGTTGTCACTGATTTAACAAAGGTGGTCTTAGTGAACAGGGTGATGAATCCTGATGACTGCAAGAAAGAGAAAAATAAGAGAAGATAAGTGGAGGAAGGGAAAACAGACAACTCTTCAAGAATTTTTGCTTTGGAGAATAGCAAAATGGGCCATACCTACAGATTTTTTTATTATATAGGAGATAGGTGAATAAATCATTTTTATTTGCTGATGTGAAGTGGTAAGTAACAAGGAATATAAATGGTAAGTAACATATGCATAAAATATGTTTGCATATGGAAGGGGCTGGCTGTGTAGAGAAGAAATACAAAAGGAAGACAGAGCATATAATGGGTAAAGATACACATAGGTTGGTAAATATATGGTGGGAAATAAAGTACTTTGTTTAGATGTTTCTATTTTTCAATAAATATAGAACAACTAACAGGAAGAGGGACTGGAGATTTGAACAAAATAACTACTAAGATTTGGTCATCTCAATATAAACAAATTTATATGAAGATGTAGTAGGAATTCAAGGACAGTGCTGGAGAGCCATTTCAGAATATGGCAATGTGATGAAAAATGAAGTGGAATTTCTCTAGTACATTCATTTAAGGAAAAATAGTAAAGTTACTTAAGATACAAGCAAGGGAGGAGTTATAGTCATGGACCACAGCATGTAAACCAACTAAGAGGGAATTAAGAGCTTTAAAAAATGGTGAGTCGATGCATTATCTAAATGGGATAGATCAAGGAACAGTTGTTAAAATAAGTGGATTAAAGGGGGTTCTTTGAAACTTGGTTAAATAAACCTTATAGACCTAACAGTGCTAAACTGTGCAATTTTTAACTACATGCACACAGCTTGCACAAAATTTCTCAAAAGAAGAACTATAGATTCTTATAAACAGCATATGTTTTGACTTATGATTTCAGAAATATATCTATTAAGAAAAGCAGTATCCATCAGTGTAGCAATCACATCCCTTTTTATTTTAAAATATTTAATGCACTATGGTGAAAAGCAAACATCATTCAAACCAAACAGACCATTAGAGCACCATCCTTAAGTGCTGTTGTAACTTCTGCTTATTATCTCTCTCAACAGTAATAAAACGAAAATCATATCAACAAATTTCAATGCCAATAAACTTCTAGAATAATGTGAAGAGCAGACAAATAGAATCTTGCAATCCATCTCAAGCATTCTTTAGAAAACTGTGAGGAGGGCAAAAAGTCCATAAAGTAGGGCGCAAGGGTAGGCAATGAGAACTGTTGTCTTCCATGTCCAAGGCTGAATGAAGATCTTGGAAGCTGAAAGACTACACCAGCCAATGATGACCAGGGCTGACACAGCTCCAAAGGTGCCCCTGTTGCAAAGACAAAGAAGATGATGGTTTACTTCAGGCATCAGGAGAACAAGATGACTGATTCAAGCTGGGCACCAGTGGCTCACATCTGTAATCCTAGCTACTTGGGAGGCTGTTATCAGGAGGATCATAGTTCAAGGTCAGCATGAGCAAATAGCTTGGGTCCCAGTCTCCAAAAAACCAGCACAAAATAGACAGAGCAGGCGTGGCTCAAAGGGTAGAGTGCCTGTACTGCAAGCGTGAAGCCCTGAGTTCAAATCCCAGTCCCACCAAAACAAACAAACAAACAAAAAACAGATGAGTTGAAGTTGCCTCTGAAGTGTTCATGGTACAATATTTTATCCCTATTTTCACATTTGCAAAATGAGGGTGTTGAACCAAATGAATTGACAAGGCTCACACTATATTTGGAGCCTTCTTTGATTGCTACAGATTTCCTTCCCCTCTTCTTCATAAATTGAGTCATAATAATGATAAGAAAGACACTCTTTCCAAGTTTCTGAGATGGCAAAGGTTAACACAGCTTATGTAGAGAATTCACAGAATAGGATCACACATGTCCACTGGTCTTTCAGTGCATCTCTGGACATCCACTTTGTATATCAGCATGTGGATTTTTTAGAATTTCTTAATTCATCCATTCAAAAAGTCACTGTGGAGGCAATCTGTTTTTTAAGAGTAAATGGTCAAGCCAGGCATTGGTGGCTCATGCCTGTAATCCTAGCTAGTCAGGAGGCAGAGATCAAGAGGAAATAGTTTTTAAGATCCTACCTTGAAAAGCCCAAAAAAATAAGACAATTTGTGAAAGGTTTTTTCGAGAGGGTCTGACGAGCTATTTGCCCAGGCTGGTTTCAAACCAAGATCCAAATCTTAGTTCCTTATCTCTGTCTCCTGAGTAGCTAGGATTACAGGCGTGAGCCACCAGCACCCGGCCTATACTGTTCAGCTTTAAAGCAATGAGGTAACTTGATAAAAATTATGTAGTAAAGTGGGCCGTGAGTAAATCTTCTAACTCCTACCACAATGTTCTTTCTACCATCAAACTATACAGCCTCATCTAATAGTAGTTTGACTCTAAAGTTGAAGATTGTGTTACTGTGACCATGACAGAAATACCTACTTTAAATAATTAAGCCAAAACAAAGCAGGTGAAAATTTGTACAGTGTAGTTTATAATGCCTTAGATTGTTAACAAACCAAAATTATTTTTAAAGCACCTAATAAATACTATATTCATTGGTTTTAATTAATGCCTATTAAGAATAATTTCTAACATGGTCTAATGTACATGTTTCCATGAACAAAAATGTAAAATTAATATGGTTAATTTTAAAGATACAGTAATATACCTTATAATTTTAATTTAATGGTATTAGGAGTCAAATGGGTTATTCCAACATAATATATTTTAAAGTAATTCTATATAGTCTGTTATGATTTAGATCTTAAATGTTCTCCAAAGGACTACATACTAAAGACTTGCTAGCCAGCCTGTGGCACATTCCACTGAGAAAGTGGTAAAACCTTTAGGAAGTGGGGCCTGGTTGGAGGAAATCAGGTCACTGGAGGTGTGCCCTTAAAGGGGACATGGGGATCCCTGGCCCTGTCCTCTCTTTCTCTTTTTTTTGGCCACCAAAGGCCCCAAAACAGTAAAACAAAATAAAATTTTCCTTTTCATAGGATGGGTTTCTCAGGTATTTTGTCAGAATGATGGGAAACTAACACATATCATGCTTTATAATTTCAGAGTGACAATCTGAAGTACAAGTTTCTGGTAATTTCCCCAGTCCAAATGTTATAGTTTTTATTTTTCCCTTAATATTTCAAAGTCATTTAAAACATCCTAAATCTCAAATTTGGTGGAAATAATGCTTAAAACTTCTAATTTTAAAATGGTGGATCATAATATTTTTTGCAAAAATGTCTAACAAAATAGATGTTGTAGAACCAAACTCTGTATTAAACAACACAGTAAATGGCACAACTTATTAAAGAAAACAATACACAAAATGTAGAATTTTTCAATGGATAAGACTCAATAGCTATAACTCATATTTATGTGCTCATGTACCCATTTCCTGTCATCTTGTTTTTTAAATGCTGAGTACTCAGTGATTAAGTAAAGGGTTTACTCCAAGGAATTCTCAAGGACATTGCTTTAAAAATGAGGTCATATTAAAATAAAAACAGCATGTCTTAATAATGTCATTCTCAATAATGTTATAAAACAATTATTTACTATTATAACAACAAATGTATTAAAATCTTTCCTAAGCAACTTATTTTTGTATTAATAAACTCTTTGTATAATATTCTATCCATGTAGCATTAACAACTTAAGACTGGATCATCAAGAAGAAATGTAAGCCATGTCTCCTCTGGATGTAGAAGAACAAGCACTGAGGGCAAATGTTTATTTCCAAGTGAGTTTGGAACATAGCAAGTGACAAATAACAATGTAGCCACTTGCTTTGTCCCTCACTAAAGTGGTAGTGATATGCACATGCCCTGGAAAAGTGTCCTGCAGAAAATTATATCACCTGTGTTCTTAGCAACAATTTTGAATCGCAAATACTAACTGCATAAGTGAAGGAAGAAAATTTTTTAAAAAGTAGTATTGACTGAACATATAAGCTATAAAGTTCTCCAGAATTAATATCCTCATCAAGGTTCCTGGGAATTCTACGCTGCGAGAAGCCCAGCTGAGAAAGAACAGTTGCTTCCAGCCTAGAAGGCAGAGTGCCTAGAAGCTAAAGCAATTTGTCAGTGTTCAGCAAGCATTTACTCATCCAAAATCAAGTAAGTGAATTTTCTGTAGTTGTTATATTACCCACGACAATAGTTCAGACTGAAGAATGTGACAAGTTAAAAAGTGCCAGTTTTAAACTGGCACATGGTTTAATTTATTTTTTTAACTGTGAAAATAGGAATAGCACCTGAGCCCAACTGACCTACTTTTCTGAATTTATGTGTGGTTTTTAATAGACATGGTTTCCCCAATTCCATTGACAAAATGATCAAAAGAGCTAAGTATTTGTATTTGCACTGGTTTGGCCAGCCATAGCAATGACTGTGCATGTGGGGTCAATCACTGCTCACAGACACTTACTGCAATGAAAAGAAGATGGCACAGCTGGAGAGGATGACCATGGGGAGCAGGCAGTAACCGAGCACACTCGCCACACAGCCATATGATACCCTTGCAGAGCTCATCAGGTTCAGTAAGGCATGCATCCCAAGGCAGCCAATGGCACTCATGCCATACATGTAACCAAACTGAACTTTTCCTGCCTGAAACAGTGCAGAGAAAACAATTTGAATGCACAAAAAACAGGAGAAGAAATCAGAACAACAACAATGCAGAGAACATTTGATGTTGCTCCATATCTTTGTTAGAACCATCATCAAGGAATTCCGGTGGCTGGGGGAACTGCCTGTAATAGGAATTCCAATCCTGAAAACAAACAACCTGACTACACTTGGGATCAGACAAGCATACTACAGAAAAGATGAAATACTACCAGGTTGATATTTTTTTACCATAGATTATCTATATGAGTACAAATTATAAAACAGTATGTTTTCTCCCCACATTTGTTGAAAAACAGAATGATTGAATAAAGGAATAAAAACCCAATTTAGTCCTGGAAGTTTATAAGGCAGATTAGTAACACTGCTATTTTAAAATTTTGTTTTAACTTCTAACAAAACTTTATAATTGAAATAGAAAGTAAACATTCTATTTTTTAGACTCAAATTTTCAGAATTCTCCTGGAAAAATTACCTTTATTACCATATCTTGATTCAAAATACTTAGTACTCTTGTAATTTTGCCTTTTGGTTTGTGATGCTAAAGATCAAACCTAAGGCCTCAGCAAACTCATAACTGAGCTACATTCCAGCTCTTAATTTGTTGAGATAAGGTTTTGCTATGTAACTCCAGCTGACCTTGAACTCACAATCCTCCTGCCTCTGTCTCCAGAGTGCTGGGATTACAGATGTGTACCATCATGCCTAGCTACAATTATACTTTTATATTCCTAATGAACACTGCTTTTCCAGGTCACACTCAGAGCCCTGCCTGAAAAGTTAAATGGAGCAATAGCTTTGTACCACTTATTTTCTTGGTATTAGGGATGAAAATAATTTGGGGGTGTTATAGTTTAGATAAGTGTCCCCATAGGAATATGTATGTTAAAGGCTTAATCATAAGCCTATGTTACTGTTGGGAATTGATGGAGTCTTTAAGAGTTGGGGGTCTAGTGGGAAGAAGTCAGGTCACTGGTTGACATGTCCTTAAAAGGATATTGAGACCCTGGCTCCATCCTGCCTCTCTCTTTTTGCTTCCTGACTTCCATAATGTAAGTAAGTAGCCTTCTCTGTCACACACTCCCTCCATGATGTACTGTCTTGCATAGGCCCAAAGGCAATGGGGCCAAGTGACCTGGACCAAAACCCCTGAAACCATGAACAAAATAAACTTTTCTTCTTAACAGGTTGGGAAGAATAAATAAAACTCAATTTATGTTGAGTGACTGAAGCTGTTTTCTTTGGTATGTCTTCTTCAACCTAACTAAAGGAAGCCCACGAAAGAATTGTGTCTTATGCTAACACAAATCATAAAAATGGGAAGTATGTAATTATGAATCTTATACCTTCAGAAATAATAAGCTGATTTGGATATTGATTCTGGCTTTAGTTTTGCTTTCATTACTACAATGACCCTGTCATTATAGATACCTACAACACAGTTAACCTAGCATCAAATGCATTCAGAGTTAAATTGTTCTTCAATTAACATACAGTTGGAATTTTTAGAGGGCTGTTATTGATCTAATTTATCATAATCAGTTCTGAAGTTAGCATATTGAATGATAAAATCCAAGTGATACTATTATGTAAAAAGATTCAGAAAAAAATATTTTCACATATTCCCCATAACTTCAGAACTAAAAGGATTCCAATTAACTCAAATAAATCCCCTTTGTCTTGAAGTAAATGAGGAAAGGAAGGCATAGAAATGTTAAGGCAAAAGTTCAAGATCCGAGTTAGTGGCAGTTAAGGATAGATCCAATTTTCTCACTTCCACTTCAGATTTTTTTTTTTGCCTAAGTTGCTTTGTATTTAAAACATACGGGAGGGTATATCCAGCTAATAATATACACCCAAGAAAGACCTTAATTAGAGTGAGGCTATCCTTTAAAGTATGGTAACAGTAATATTTTCTACAGAAACACAAACAGCTGTTATATTACAAATGAAAAAGAAAGTTAACATAGTAAATTGTTTCTGACTTTTTGATTAATTGCCATTGTCTTGCTTAGTGGCCTAATCTAAGATTATCAAATCATTGTGACAAAGAGAGATGAGGAGTTAAAGAGTAAATGAAAACTCTAGTTGATAATGTTTGATTTACAGGGTATTTGAATTTTCTGTAGTAGAAAGAAGATACCACCTTCGTACTATTGTATTGTTATCACTGTGCTATTGTGCTGGATAAATATGATGGATTATTGACACAGTTCCATACAGAAACTAGATTACTATCAGTATTTTGACTGGTATTATAAAATTAATAAATGGGATGTGCAAGTTTACTTAGTTGCAAACACACTTTAAACCACCTTTGATCATCACAGCTACATTGGGGGAAAATTTTTTATGGAAAGTAGATACAAGTATTATGGGAAAGAAGAAAATGACTATTGTAAGAATTTTTCTCAAAATCTTTGATTTTCCCTGCCAAGTTTATCTCCTGTACCCTAAGGAAACTATACTTTTTTTATCTTCTGTTTTCAATCTAGTGTTATTTCCTTCTTGGTATAAAATCATATCCCTTTTCTCATTGTTACTTTCTTCTTCCTTTTTTAATTGAACATTTTTCTGAACTATGAACTAAAATATCTTCTAAGCTTAAGTAGAAATATGTTTTTTCTTTACTTTTTTGATGACTCTTAATATCATTAATTCTAACTATAAAGAATAAAAGGACTCACACAAAAGTTATATGCTGAAGTCAGGGAGAAAATGCCATCATGAAAAGCAGAAAACAAAAATTATAGGAAAAGCATATAAATTGATTAAACAGATCATAGATTATCATTTATTCATAGTAGCCTAATCAGAAACAGGAAGACCTACCTTAGATATAACAAGATGTTAGAAATACTCTAGAGATATATTATAGCAAAGAAAATAATGACCAAAGAGAAATGATTTATCCAGTGTCACAACAGAAATCTCATAGGAAAAAACAAGAATAAAATTTTAGGTCTTATATTTCCAAATCCATGTTTTCTTAGTAAAAAGAAAGACATATATAATCTCCTGCTTGGGTGAAAATTTGACTTGGTGGTTAGAGTTTTTAAATAAAATTTATATTTTTTATTTTTTTTGTGGTACTTGGGTTTGATCTCAGGGCCTTGAACCTGTTAGGCATGTACTCTACCACTTGCACCATCCCTCAGAACTTAAATTTATATTTCTATTTGTTTTAATGCATGATGGCAAATTCTTTTGGCCAGTATAGCTTCTTAAACAAATATGTATCTCTCACTAAAACAAATGAAGTTGTGAATTAAACAATTTTCACTGTATGAAGCAACATACTTTCTCCACTATTTACAAAGATCTTTGAAAAACTGACACTGGTAAGGACAAGCATTAAAATCTGGTGTTTCCTTACTCCCATTAGAATAGCTAATGGGAACACCACCTACAACAAATGTTGGCAAGGATGTGGGAAAAAGGAACCTTCATACTCTGCTTGAGGGAATATAAGCTAGGACAACCACTATGGAAAACAGTATGAAGGCTCCTTAAAAAACTAAAAATAGATCTGCCATACGATCCAGTAATACCACTCCTAGGGATATACCCAAAGGAATGTGAGTCAGGTTACAATAAAGGCACCTGCACACCCATGTTTATTGCAGTGCTATTCACAATAGCCAAGCTATGGGAGCAGCCAAGATGCCCCACTACTGATGAATGGATTAAGAAAATGTGGCATTTATATACTGTGAAATTTTACTCAGCCACAAAGAAGAATGAAATATTGTCATTCACAGGTAAATGGATGGAACTGGAGAACATCATCTTAAGTGAAGTTAGTCAGGCTCAGAAGGTCAAAAGTCTCATGTTCTTATGGTGTATGATCTTAGGATTATGCACCAAAAACAAATGCGACAATACTATGAGACACACACTAAGGGGAGGTTATGCATGGGAGGGATAGGGCAATAGACAATAGGACAAAGAAAGATAACAAAAATTTGAATGTGGTTGATGTGGTCACAATAAAGGAATGAATACAGAAATTTTAAAATAGCAGGGACTACCATGGGAAGTGAACTAGGGAGGAATGAAGAGGATTGGTGGAAATGAACCACCTGGGGATGTAATATATATACTCATGGAACCAACACAAGGAAATCCCCTTTGCAGCTATCTTTATCTCAAACTAGCAAAATGCCATGTTTCTCTTTTTACCTTTTACATTTATTCTTCTACAAAATCAGAGAACAGGTAAACTCAAGATGGTGGATAGCTGACGGGACCCTGAGACTTGACCTGCATGATTTCGAACAAACACTCCAGATTTTCATGGCAGCAAAGACTGGGTAATACTGTTTTTTCTGCCAACACATAGGGAGCACATGATAGTCTATTTTCTGTCTGGGAACAGCTGGGAGCAGGGTCTAATAGCCCCCACCAATCTGCTGCTTTTCTTTTTTTCTTCTCTTAATTCTTTCTTGCCTTGGTCAGTAAAGTTGAAAAAACTCAGAGAATCACAGAGACCTGCAAGCATCTGGAAGTACCTGGACCCATCATATACTCAGAGACACAGAAACTCCTTATACTGTATGTCTCAGCAGATCTCTCTCCACCTTAAGTGTGTCCACAACCTTGCCAAAAATAACACAACACAGTGAACCACAGAAAGAGAGCTGCAGGCATCTGGGAAGACTGGGACCTACCAAACACAAGAGAACACAAAACCTCTATTGGCCACCTGCCTGTGTTGCCCTGTAGAGCTGATCTACTTTTAACCAAGTGAATCTGCTAACCCACCTGGTGAGTACAACACACTGTTTGGGAGGGAACCAAATATTCTAGCACAGCTGGGGAGCCAATTGCACTCCCTCTGTTCAAATATATGAAGGGAATATATCCCTTTTGCCTAGGGGGAAGAAGCAGAATGTGGAGCTGAAATGGCCCCTGAGGGATGGAGTGACTCAGCACCCACCATGGAGAAAGCCAGGCACTGCTCTGCCCTGGAGAAATGGGGA